CCAGGCCATCCCCAGGGCAGTATTAGGATGAGGTCAATAAAATAGAACTGGCAGGATTTTCCATCAGCCTTTTCAAGATGTGTAGTTTGCAGACCCCCTGCCTCTAGACTGGTAAGGGCAGAGAAGGAAAGAGGGGTGGGCAGGCAACTTTGAAAAGAACCAACAGCAGGATGTGTTCCGCCAACACGGAGCCTCTCCCGTAGTCTGCGTAGAAGAGACCCAGGAAACTGCCCCCTACTGGTGAAGTCATTATGAGAAGCTTTGTGGTGAACAGCGTTTGATCCCATCAACCAAAGACTTAAAACATGTTACCACAACTCTTAGCTTCTATGGAATTGTCTTGCACCAATTTCTATGGAATTGTTCTTTCACTAATTTCCCAGCTGCAAAAGAAAATTTTTAATGTGCACCTGCCCAACAGTCTGAAAAGAGAGGATACGTTGATCCGATTTAGGAATATTGAAAAGAATTTCAAAGGACAGTGATGATTTCAAACTTTTGCATCAATACAAGGAAGTTGAATTTCTCATCTCCTAGGAGAAAGATGTCACTCTTCTAGGGATTAAACCAAAATGTGAATGTTAAGAAGGTGGAAAATGAAAGTTGGAAACTGCTGCCCTCATCCTCCACCCTTGTCTCACCCCATCCTAATCTGCTGTAGGTTAGGAATCCCAAGCAAAGCCAGTGCATCTCACTCTTGCCCACACCCAAGCTGTCCTGTCCCTCTTGGCACCCCTCTGTTACTCCTTGTAGCTGGGGCCCATCCTCCAACGTGCAGCTCTGCAAACCTCCAGAGGATGGCACCAGGGACACCTAACTCTTGCTTTAAGGCTCCCAATGAAACTAACCCTTGCAATTACATCTTTTGCAATTAATTATATTTTTATCCGTGCTCTTCTTAAAGCAGACAAAGGCAGATGGCAAGAAAACAAGCCGACGTGAGAAATGTCTGTAAAAAAAATCAGGAAAGGAGGGTGGTGGGAAGGAGAAAGAAGTGTTAAGGGCCCCAGACCAGTGTTGGGCCCACAGGCTGCTGTTAGATCTTGAGCATAGAGGAGTGTTGGGTTTGGGCTCATTAAGTCATTGTTACTGATGTAGGGAAGTCGTCTCAGCTATTTTAAAATGATTTTAGATGGAAGGATTTTCTTCCTTGCATTCTTATTTAACCAGAATCTTTCTGTGTTGTCTTTCTAAAATTTCTACTCCTTTAATTCTTTTTCAATATGTTGTACCAGTGTTAGCAAAATAAAAACGAACACCCTCTAAGAATGGCATTTTTAAGCGACTGACAGGGAGTTAGTAGATGAACACTGCCCTCCTAAAACTAGTTCAAATGCTCTTTCATCCTCTCCCTAATCTCTCTCTCCCTTTTTCTAGGCTCAACATTGCTGTAGAGAGCTGCTGCTGCTGTCTCTGATATGACAGATAGTAATGATAGTCCTCAGTTCTGTATTCTGACAGTCACAAGAAACCTTGGAGCCAGAGACAGAGAAGGAAATAAATCTTACATAGGTGCTAACAACACCAGGCATTATATTAAAAGACATTGACTTGTTCTATGCGAAAAGCCTTCCACTGGCAGCTGAGACCATCTTTGGGTAAAACGCTTTGATAACCACCCCCTTCTTTGTGGAGGGGAACTTTGCTGTCAGACTCTGTAGGTTTAATTAACACATTTAACTTGAATGGCTGAGAGTTGTTGTTTTCTCCTTTTTTTGGTACAACACCAGGCTGGACAATTAATTCCTAGGGAGCGAATGTTTGAAGTAGTAGATGGAGTATACGGAGCAGCTTTGTTTAAGAGTGAATACGGAAAGCCCACCTTGCAAATCCTTGGGTGTTTCAAATGTACTGATATATAGAGGGGTGTGTGTGTGTGTGTGTGTGTGTGTGTGTGTGTGTGTGTGTGTGTATGTGTGTGTGTGTTTGTGTGGTATGAAAACAACCCTTGTTCAATCCATGGAAGCAAAATATATTCCTCTGATAAATTTTATGTATCTATCAGTTGGGAAACCTGGGTTCTTTACCAGGTAGATTCATGTCTAGGGGATTTGCATGGTGCAAACTCAGTATTTTTTCCCTTATCACCTGCTATGCTCTAGGCACAGATGTAGAAGAATGGAACTCCTGACATCTAAAAGCTTTGTAATCTCATTAAGAGTCACGAAGTGGTCTCAGATATTTTAGAGAGATTTTAGATAGAAAGAAATGTTTGCCTTGCATTCTTAGAAGCCTCTCTTGGAAGGCTACTAAGACAGTTAAATATAAATATGTGCCCAGTAGTTTGATAGCATCTGTTGTTGTACCATAGTTCTTTGGAGATGAGACCGGTGGAGATCTTAGTGGATAGAACAGGTTCCACAGAAGAACAAGGCTTTTGACCTGACTCTAAAAACAACACTGGCAGTGAGGAAGGCAAGTCTTGAAGCCCCTTCTGCCAGAGTGGGTAGCATCAGTGAAGGCCCAGCAGGGGGAATGTGCCAGGTGTGTGTGGGAAGATGAGCCCGCCAAGACCAAAAGGTACCTTTGGAGAGATGAAATTGAAAAAGATCTCACTGAGCTGAATAAGAGAGTCTTGGTTTATTGGATTGCTTTGTTTACCCACTGCTTGAGGGGCCTCTAGATACTCACAAATAACAAAGTTGCCCTTTGAAGATATAAACAAATGTCATGAGACATACCTGACTGGTCCACATGCTCTGAATCCAAGCCTAAGGGATAAATTTTAAAAGATAGGGGAAAAAATGAACTGCAGATGCTGGCACCCAACAATTCTTCCGTGGAAGCAGAGATAACAAATCCCTTCGTGTAGCCATATAAACATTTAGAGTTTATATATTATTCTTGCAGGATATATGTGAGCCCAGTCTTCATACACAGAATTATTATTATTCTGAATTGTCCTGATTCTATTACATTTGCATTAATCTTTGTATATAAATATAGATATCATCATACATTTATATATAGACATAAGCACGCCACAGTGGTGTGAACTCGTTTCCCTTTAAACTCATAGAAATAAATACAGCTCTGTATTAAAAAAAAAAAGAAAGAAAGAAAGAAAAAGAGGATGAGGAGGGAGAGAGAAGCAGAAACTGTTGGTTTGAGGGCTTGCCGTTGTTGCACAAGCCTGCGTGTTGTAATGCAAGGTGTTCAGGACATGCTGGGAAACAAGAAGCAGACATGCATGTGCTGGCTCCTTGTTTCCTAAGATAGGAAGGTATGTATTGTCCTATGCCTTGTTAGCTATAGGTGGGGGGCTCCCTCTCCATCGCACCTTGGCACTCATAGAAAATACCAAACATGAAATGTACCCAGGAAACCTTTCTCCCCCGGGCATGATAGGCAAAGAAAGAACAATAAGAAGGACTTAGAAAGAAAAAGCCATGATTCTCCTTGGCTGGTCACCCAAATACTGTGTAATTGGAGCTAATCGAGCTGCTTGCTTTAGTAGCCAGATATTTTAGCTGTTTTTGGTTTCAGGGTGTGTTTTGATCCAATGGACACAGTGTTGTAGCAAGTTCTTTCAAGGGTCAGTAAATACTCACTTGAGCTGAGTTGTTCCTTGGACGTGCCTGGTGCCATCTGCCGCGATCGTGAGTCACTTAGTGACTCACACTCATTGACCCTTTGCTGAGTGTTGGGGCTGGGGACAGAGGAAAAGGCTGGGCAGTCCTGGTACTCAGTGCAGTGTGACTCAACATCCTTTCACCATGGGAGGTGGCAAATGTGATGGTGGGAGATTGAGGTGCAGGTGGGTTATAAAGGAGGCACATGGCAGAAAAGTGATGTTTTTTCAAATCAGTAGCTCAGTGCCCATGGGAACCAGAGTACCTACGGCAACAGGATTTTCTGGGCTGCCATCAAAGGATGCTTCTGGAGGCAGAAAAGGGTCCCATGGTCCCATAAAGATTATGAGAGAGCAGCAAGGATAACAAGGAGCTTCAATGAAGAACAGTGCATAAAAGAAGACACTTGGGGGATGGAGTATGTGGAGGGTCAGCCCTTATCTCAGGAGCTGTGATTCTATGAAATTGCCCTTGGAGAGTACTGAAGTGGTTACAGCAAATGCATTTGACGTCTTACCAGCTGTGTAACCATCTGTAAAATGGCCATAATAACTCCATGTACCATGGGGATTGTATGTGGATTAAATAAGATAATGCACGTGAAGCACTTGGATCATAGTGAGAGCTCAGTCAATGTGTACTGCTGTTTTTTAGCCTGAAGTTCCTCTGGTTACTGTTATAAAGACCGAGGTCGGTTCCTTATTGCCTGTAGAATCAATTCTTCTCTCCTTGATTTGCCATTGAATGCCTTTTCCATATTGCTCTCACCATATTCATCTAAACTTATTTAAATCAGCTAGGCTTATTCATACCATATCCCTCTCTGTCTCACCACTTTGACTCATGCTGTTCCCTTTGTGAGTAATGCCACTTTCGTCAGTTTGGATGCTGTCATTCCTTCAGGTCCCAACTGATTCTCCACAATGTCTTGAAGCATCCCTGATTGACTCCTGATCTTCCCCAGTACACTACCATGGGCTGCCTCATGCATTTCTCATCATTGTAGTTAGGTTCAGGTTATATATTGTTGCTCTTCCAGACCAGGTCTTACCTTTGCACTTCTTTACATGCCCCACGATGCTCTACACATGCTAGATCAAGTGGCACAGCTGACTTTGTCACCACGTGGAAAGGGGCATGAGTTCCAGTTCATTCTACTGCTTACCTGGCATGCAATTTCCAAAAAGCCAGTTAATCCTTCTGAGCTTCAGTTTCCTCAATTGTAAAATGGGGATATTAGTATATATCTTGTAGACTTTAGATGAGAAACAGAGATGATGCATGTGAAACACTCACTTGGCATTTGGCAGGGACTCAATAAATGGTAGTTATTACTATGATTATATTTATTATTGAGCCAATGAACTGATGTTTGTGTATTTGATGTATCACAGAACCACGGTGCTGAGTAGTTTCTCTTCTTTACAGTTATACAGCTCTGCTGAATTTGGGAGAAGGTGGCAGCTTATCCAGGAAGGGGTCATACCAAACAGGTTCTACTGGTAAGTCTCACTTTGTCTTGTAGCACATTAAGATATCACCTAGTAAATGAGCATTGGAATCTTGTTCTCACTTAGTGCTCTCACAGAAGGTCTGTTCACATTTCCATAGGGCAGGAGGTGAAACTGGACTAGTAAACATTTTAAGGGAATATTAAAATTTGTCACAAATTTCTTGAAAACTCAAAATGGATTGAGATTAGTGAACTTCACAGCGGTTTTGTAAGTGTTGCTTTGTTATGTTTTGGTAGAACCTATGAGACAGACATTTAAAAAAATAATAGTTTTATTATTAAAAGCATTATATACACACATATATTGCATGTTCAAACAAAGGTTTTCAGTGTAGATAAGTAAGATCTACTTTTAGACTAAAAGTAGTCTAAATTTAGTCCTCCCATTCCTGATTTCAGGTCTTCTAGACCTTCTCTTTTAATGTGGGACACAACCAGTATTCCTAGTTTCTTTCTTATCTTTCTAGAAATATCTATGTAACAAAATACCATAGACTGGGTGACTTAAACAGCAGACATTTATTCCTCACAGTTCTGGGGGCTAGGAAATTCAAGATCAAGGTGCCAGCTGATTTGGTTCCTGCTAATGGCCCTCTTCCTGGTTTGCAGATGGCGGCCCTCTGGTTGTGCCCACACATGCTGGAGGGAGAGAGAACTCTGATCTCTTCTTCTTCTTGTAGGGACACTAATCCCATCATGGGGACCTTATCCTCATGACCTCACCTAAACCCAATTACCTCCTGAGGGCCCCATCTACAAATACCATCCCACCACTGTGGGTAAGGGCTTCAACATATGAATTTTGAGGGGATACAAACATTCAGTTCCTAACATATATACATGTAGATATTTGCATTTACATAAATGTTAGCTATGCACACTGTTCTATGCCCTGTTTCTTTTGAGGGGATACAATTAACTATACATGTATCATTTTTGATTGACTACATATCATTTTAGTCTAAGAATATAGATTGGAGGTAAACCTTATGTCTATTTAACACATAAAGTAAACTAGATGTTAGTGGGATGTGTGTATGGGAAAACAGAAATGTGGAGGCAAGGAAAATACACTTTTATTCTTTTGTTTTTTTTAACCACCTAAGCCCAGCCCCCTTAATTAAACTAGAAGTGGCCTCTGTCCTTGGGAAGGGTGGCTGAAATTGAAAAGAAGGGAAATAACAGAAGTGCATTTTGGCTTTTGAGTTTCCAAAGTCGTAGATCTTGGCAAAGTAAGAGCAAAGTATGGAACATTCTAGTGTAATTTTGATATGAATTTTGTACTTACATCCTAACCTCTGCCAAAAGATGTGATTCTACCTTAGCCTAATTTACCTAATCTGCCCTTAGAAAAGATATTTAAATTGTTTCCAGATGTTTTCTATTATAAACAGTGCTACTGGGAATTAGCTCAGATAAGATTTTAAATATCCCTTACTCACATCACTCAGAATCACAGAGACAGTGACCTTTTAGTAGACAATGAGTACCCCGCAATGACGGCAGCAAAAGTAGCTCCCCTTTACTCCTCCTGAAATCACACTGCCTCTCATCAGCCTTTAGATTTAGACGCAGAACAGATCACCAAAGCATATAATAGCTTCCCACCTCCACTCCAATTCTCTCACTTTTATATGAACTTCTAAGAGGAATGCATTTTTATCTTCCTCATTTTCAAACACTGCCCTAAACCCCCTGTGGGAGTTGAAAGCCAGAGAACCGCATTAGAGAAATTTCTTAAAAAGCTAGTGAAACTGCCTGAAAAAAAAATTAAAGACAAGTCATTTACAAACAAACTTCCTCAAAGATAATATATAGAGACTTTTATAAGGCATGATGCCATTTTTTCCCTATCATATTGAGACATTTATAAGTAAAGAAGGTATTTGTTGCACAGAAGCAGGCTCACCTCTCTCCCTTAGCTGCCCTTGCGTCAGATGACTTGAGCCTTGCTTTCCAGTCCAAGTTGACATCTCCCATCTCCAGAAACTCAGCTCTGACTCTTCCTGAGTTTCCTTTCTCTGGTCGGCATTTTTTTCTCCCTTCCTTATTCATTTTGTCCCTTATTCATGAGACACCTCTATCTCTGTGATTTCTCTTTGTGTTCCAAATGACCTATATCATTTTCCCAGTTTCGTCACCCTCCTCTCTTGCTCCAACACACTCAAGGCTCATTTCTTACCCCAGTAAAAACCTTCACTGCCTCAATCTCTGGCTCACTCAACTCTTA